CCACGAGGTGCAAGCGGAGAGGCCACCAAGGGAGACGGTTGAGGAAAAGTTTGCGAGAGTGCAGGTGCGCCTCGGGGAGATATATCAGGAGAAAGTTAGGATGGAGGTCGCAGGGGAAGTGCCGAAGCCACCAATCGACCCCCCGACGAGTGAGCAGAGGATTAATGAGGCGTGGGCCAGTTACGAAGGTAAGAGGGATGCTGACCGTTTGAGATCGCGAGAGGCAGGGCACGAGGACGAGGGGGCGGATGAGACACGATAAATTGGGGACCTGGGATTTTCAGCCGCCAGGATGGCGATCGAGCGCACAGACACGAGGATACGCCAGGTGGCGACCTCGTCCTTCCAACGATATACCATGCTCAGCGATGAGTTGGCGGCTTCGAGGTTGGAGGTGGAGCAGTTGTCTACCCAGCTGGCGGAAGGGATGGCAGAGAACCAAGTGTGGAGATCCCGCATGGAAGCCAAGGAGGCGGAATGGGAGAAGAGGCTCCAGGACATAGCAGCGATCGTGGAGAGGCTCTCGGCCACCAAGGTGGTCGACTGGACAGAACAGAGCCGGTATGGTATCCGGGGAAAGGAAGTACGGGGACTCTTTGGCCAGGGAGGGATGGCAGAGCCATCTTAGCGAGAGGGAATGAAGAAGGTATTTCTGGACCCAGCGGAGGTGGAGGCAAGGCGGAAGGCCAAAGAGGGGAGCTTCAGCTTCAGGGCCCCCACCGAGCTAGCCTCGTACCAGGCGACCCCTATGGCGGTTGAGACCCCTACGAAGGATCCAGCACAGAGATCTCAGCCCCCACTGGCGGAAGGGGGCCCCGCAAAGGAGTCCCCTACGATCCTTTTGGAGGTGCAGGGGGGCACCCTTACGGGGGCAGCAACGTCCACTGAGCCTGAGGCGATGGAGGAGGAGGCATCTCGTTTGGATGAGCTAGTGGCGGCCATGGAGTTGGACATGTCGTCAGGTGGGCCTCAGAGACACGAGACCCCGGAGCGTGTGCCCGAGATGGGGGAATTGAGGACACAGTTAGGCTCTTGGGCTACTGGAGCTGACTCAGGAGAGCACATCTCAGAGCAGCAGCAGGAGGCTATGAGCGAGTCAGTGGCTACCGTGACTCCCCAGCCTTCAGACCCGCATAGGGACGAGGGGACCACTGTGATGGGAGGGGTCCACAAGGGTAGGCCACAGAGATTGGGCACTCCGGCGTACCGGCCTGAGGGAGGCGAGATGCGAGCGGGGCCGAGTACCCCGATGTTGGAGGCGAGACCGGCGGAATCATGGAGTATGCCCAGAGCCATGAGATGAGCAGGGAGGCCAGTGAGACGTCGTTGCTGCCAGGGTCCCAGAAGAAGAAGAAGAGATATCAGAGGAGGTCGGATGATCAGTGCTTCTTCTGCAAGCATGGCGTACACAGGGCTCTCGAATGCCCAAAGTTCCTCAAGGACAAGGCGGCTGGGAGAGTGACAGAGAGTGGAGGGAAGATGTATGATAGGCAGGGGTGAGTGGTAGAGCGGGCTCCAGATGGGGGTAGGGCACAATTGTATAGGCAGAACCAGGAGGCCATGAGTGAGTAGGGACTGGCCCGCCTATATGATGGCAGGACTAGGGTTCCTCTGTACGCAGAGATCGGGTTAGGGGTATACATACTTTGAGTCGGTCAGATGGATTCTAGAGGTATATAGGTTGGGTCGGTTAGACGAGTCCTGTCCAGTTGTACATATGTAGGAGACAGTGCTTGATAGGTTTTGAGCTCTTTGATGTGTGTGGTACGATTTAGGAGATGGGATTAAGTTGGGTGATACCTGTGACTATGTGACTTGTGCATTAGTTCTGGAGGCTTAAGAGCCTTGTTTATATCTTTGAGTGGATCCTGAGAGCCCATAACACTTGGAGTGTGAATTTACCCCGTGGAGTGAAACAGTGAACTGAGTATTTACGTTGATCCCGAGGCAGACATTCCATTCCTAAATACATCCTACGAATTGTGTGTTGAGGGCTTGAGTTGAGTGTTTGTATTGAGACTTGAGGGAGATATTTTGCTCCCGAGTACATTTTGACCCCAGACTATGTGGAATTTATTCTTGTGGCGATCACGATCACTCTCACACGTGTGGCTTTATCCCAATGTATGATGGCTTTGTGTAAGAGATGTGTGGGATACATCTCATGTATTCTGTACTGTGTGAATGTGATACCGTCTACTCCCCAGTATACTCGTGCGATCTGCCTTTGGGCAGGTGAAACGGCCGAGTATAAGAGGAGGCAGTGCGGTTGTTTTGTGACAGATGTGTGAGGACCCTAAGGGGTCTTGCGAGCCTATAAGGCTGGGATGCTTACCATGCCGAGTGTTTATGGCTAAGTTGTGAAGGGGACCCATGAGTTGGTCCCTCAATTTGAGTTGTCTCGTGTTTGAGTTGGGGAGAGGGCCCTTAAGTAGGCCTCTCAGTTGAGTTGTTCTATGATTGAGACCCCTTCAGATTAAGGAAGGTGGTAGTGTTGTTTATTGGAAGACTCATCTTCGAAAGGGAGGTGTTTTAAAAAGGGTCGCGTGATAGCTCATCCTAGAAAGAGAGGGATGGCTGGGTGACCTATTGAGAGAAACCTCCTTCGTGTGAAAGGTGATTAATAGATTTAAGGGCATGGTAAGCAATGTTTGAGTTGATAAAGTCTGACGGAAGGAACCAGAATTACGGATTGGACCATTGGTGGAACTGAGAAGGTCGCAAGTCAGTGCATTAAGATGTCGTGGGATGTGTGGTCTGCTGTCTCTGATCAAGTCAGTAGGCCACGGCCTTGTGTGAGCCTAGCGGTGAATCTGTTTGTGATTGTGAAAAGGGGCCATGCTTTCTATGTTGTCCCATAGGGAGCTGGTAAACGTCTTTAAAGTGAGACAGACCCCTGCGTAGTCCCGCAGTGGGCCTCTGGTCTGTTTTGCGATGCACCGTCTAGACACTTGTGCTAGTCCTAAGGCATTCTGAGGAATACCAAGCTAAACGGTAAAGGTTAGCACCAGGGTTGTCACGCGGGGCACCCCGGGGCCGAAGCCGGTGTTGGGATCTGACCCCCGGACACCCGCAGCGGGTGGGGACGACCCCCGGACCCCGCTTGTGACCCCCGCGGCCGCCCGAACCCCGG